CAGTTCTTCAGAGAGGGACCTGGGAGTCCTGATGGACAAGTTGACTGTGAGCCAGCAATGCACCCTTGTGGCCAAGAAGGCCAATGGCATCCTGGGGTGCATCAAATAGAGTGTGGCAAACAGGTCAAGGGAGGTCATCCTCCCCCTTCATTCTGCCCCGGGTGAGGCCACATCTGGAGTATTGTGTCCAGCTCTGGGCTCCCCAGTTCAAGACAGACAAGGAACTACTGGAGAGAGTCCAGTGGAGGGCTATGAAGATGATCAGAAGACTGGAGCATCTCTCTGATGAGAAGAAGCTGACAGACCTAGGTCTGTTTAACCCGGAGATCAATGCTTATAAATGTCTAAAGGGTGGATGTCAAGAGGATGGGGCCAGACTCTTTTCAGTGGTGCCTGGTGGCAGGACAATGGGCAATGGGCACAAGCTGGAACACAGGAAATTCCGTCTCAACATGAAGGAAACACTTCTTTACTGTGAGGGAGATGGAGCTCTGGAACAGGCTGCCCAGAGAGGTTGTAGAGTCATCTTCTCTGGAGATGTTAAAATCCCGCCTGGATGCGTTCCTGTCCAACCTGCTCTAAGTGAACCTGCTTTGGCAGTAGGGTCGGACCAGATGGACTCCAAAGGTCCCTTCTAACCCCTGCCATTCTGCGATTCTGTGAGGGGCATTCAGTAGTAAACCAGGTCAAGAATTTAAAACCAGCACTTTTCAGAGGCAGCATGATTAATCTCCACTGCTAGATTCAGTGCCCACAAGGGAATCCTGTTACAAATGGCACAAATGGTTTTAGAAACCAGAACATATTCAGTTGGTTCTAACAATAAGGTATAATTGACCCTCAAGTGCAGAAGCATTATTTGTCATGACTTGAGTTTATCCAAGTCTGTCTCTTAATGCCTTGCCCTTTTAATTAAGATATATTTTTGACCAAATGATAGATAATATGAAATTCTCTATTGGTTTATTTGTGCTATCTTCAAAAGACAGATGATGCTCACTCCAGCATCAACGCGAGCACATCTCTAAGTGGTTGATGTAACAAGCGTGTAGGAAAACTTTAGTGATGCCTTTAAGGCCTAACCCATTGCTCTAAAGGTTTATTGGTGCTTGATGGTGTTCCTCCAAAGTTTGAAACAGTCTTGCATGGATTTGGGGGGAGAAAAACGGAGCAAATTACTGTAAAATTATATTGTGTACTGAGTTATTGCAGTAATTGATGTTGTGGAAATAATCCATTAATTGCCTACAGGAGGAGTTAATGAGCCATGATACTTTCGGTTATATTTGTACCTGTATGCTAACTGAAAAAAAAGAAAAAAGTGTACATTTTTATTTTTGTATTGCAGAGGGGAACATCAGGAAAAAAATATTTCTGGCAGCTGGGTTGGGTCGCTCGCTGCCCATCCTCACACTTGCACATCCCCATAACAACCAGCACTGTTGCAAGACCAGGTTTTGATGAGATGTATGTTTAGAAACAAAGTCAAGTGTTTCCTACAAACGCTGGAGCTGCTTTGAAAATGGTGGCAAAAGCCGGTTTGAAACAAGCGGGTGGTTTCAGGTCTGCATCAAGCTGGCCTGGAAAGAAAATCAGGTTGGCATTTGTCGTCTCTGCTGCTCTGTTTATACAGGCTGTGCTTTGCCAGATGGGTGAGCGCAACTCCCCCAAGGCTTTCTCTGTGACCTTTGAATGTCAGAAGTGACATGACTGAAACGGCAGTGATTTGCACTAAAACTTAGCTATATGTAGCTTGTCTTATTTTTCTGAAATCAAACTTATCAAGCAAGGCAGTACACACCTTTCACAGTGCTTTTTCTTTCTACACTATGTATTAATGTATGATTAAATGCTTTTCACAGGATGCTGTCTTACCTGGGCTTTTCCCCTGGGTGGCTGGAGATAAGCAAAGGAAAAAAAGTATACAACAGATGCTGGTCACTGTATTTTTGTGCTGCTGGATGATGCTGAGGTGCATCAGTGTCAAGTACAGTACTGGGCTCAAAAAATGCAGTATAATGTGCAGGTGTCAGAACAGGTATACATTGGTTTGGTGAATGTCTGTTACGGGTGGTTGTGCTATGGGAAACCTTGTGCTAAGGATGGGTTCAGGATGTTTTGGAAGGCAAAGATTTCTCACTTGCTTCAACGGGATGTTTATATCCCAAAGCCTGTGTGAAAGGGAAAGAAGCAACAACGATTAGCTTATCTATGTGAAATAATGATAGACGCTTCAAAGCTAAAGTAGGTCATAAAAATACACTGTATAGGATGTTCCTGCCAATTTCTTCATCACCCTCAGTAAATTGGATCAGAGCTGTGGTGTGTTTAATCTCTTCAGGTTGCAACTAATGCAGAGTAAGTGTTCTGACCAAAAACCTCAGAGCACAGTTCTTAGTCTTTATGGCTGTTCACTCCACTTTCCAACTTGCCTGCGTAGACCAGTTCTTCTGTTTGTGCAATTCCCTTCTCTTCCTTCCCCTGAGCCCATAAGTCTGTACTTTCAGGAATCCCTGCACGTAACTTACTGACAACTGTCTCTCTGGAAGGACTGGTAAGAGGGTCAGGCTTAGGTTAACGTTTAGCTGTTAATTTTCATTGTGTGAACAAGACCTATTGTGTTCCTGTGTTCTGGAAAGCCGCTTCCATGTGAGCTAGTCCTGCCTAGGCAGCTCTCGCTTTGTCCTTCCTTTTAAAGCTTCATTTCACCTCTTTCAGCATGGTGGTCCAGCGCTGAGTATTGGTTGTAGCAGGAGCCACATGTCATCACTTAAAAGCTTTGTTTTAATTAGAAAGGAGGCTAAGTGATTTCACAGTGCTCTGTTTGGTGTGCTGGAGCTCAGCAGCTCCTGCAGTACCTGGATTTGTCAGCTGCGGACTCAGCGGAAACAGAGTCTTTTAGCAATACCTATAAAGATGTGTGCACTTCGAAGAGAACTGCTAAAAACTAGGCCCAAAGTGTCATTTCCATCTTTGAATAAACAGAGTGTGTGCCATCTGAGAGTTCAGAAATAAGACCAGCTGGGAGTGCTGAGAGTTGTGTCCTGTGTCAGGATACGGTCTGGCTGGGGGCTGGGGGACAGGGAGTAAGGAAAGCTTTACATAAACATGTTGATGGGCACCTCTGTGGTTTTAGTTTCTAGGCTTTGTTGGCATCAGCTTAGTTTTAGTTTCATCTTCCTGAGGTTTCTTATATAGAAACATAGACTAAGTGCTACTCTGACACAGGTCAGCTCTGTTCATTTGCCCAAACACTGCTATGGCATAAGAATTGTTGGCCTTTTGTACAGACAACCGTTTCCTTCTGAATTCACTTAATATGCACAGGTAAAGCACGGAGGTAGATATAGATATGTACAGAGATAAATACCAGTTCTAGGTTCTTGCCCAGGAACAGCAGTGGGCTCGCTGTTAGCAATAGCATGGTGCTGCTGCTGTTGGACGGTTGAAATTCCTGGCAAGTTTTATTTTTAGTTTTTCCTAGTTGCAAAAACCAAGTTGGTGCAGCGTGTCCACTAACGGCATTGCTGGTGTGGGAGAAACAGAACTGCCTGATAGGACCCGTGTGATTAAAGCACTGAAATGCCACAAGGCAGGGGCTCGGCTTTCTGCGGAGCGAGGGAGCGGGATGGGGTGCTGGTCCGGAGCTGGCTTCAGGCAGCACACAAGTGGGTTTAAGCCTAGTCCTGGTTCTTACACCTTGTAGCTCACAGGGCGTCACTCAAATTCTGCCCTAATTTCCATGAGGCTCAAAACACCTCTGTATTCATCTCCCCTACTTTGCAGTATTTAAAATGGGTATAAATACAATGTGAAAAATGCCCAGGCAAAAGTTGCCAATTCCCATTTAATACATGTAGCTCTTCCTGATGGTAATGCTGGAAGGCATTATTTTCTAGCTACAAGGTTTTGCAGGCTGCTAAAAGTCTTTCAGACCCACACCTGCACATGGCAATTGAATCCAAAACATAGCATCGACCATTTGAAATACATACCTTACACCTCTGGCATGAGACATACAGCACAGTGGCATGTGACTCTCTCCAAAGAAGCACATTGAGGAAACTAAGTAGTGAATTCAATCAGAAAAAAAAAATCTCTTGCGGGCTGCATCTCACCTGATGGCTGTTAACATCTTCTGTACCTGTAGTAATGGCTTTAACCTGTTTTGTAGCAATGATTTGTCACACACTGAGCTGCATTCTTAATTCCTTGGTTCACTCTTGGGGTCAGGTAGTTTGCGTGGTGCTCCAGTCATCTGCGGATAGATGAATTATTCCTCTGGCAGATAGTCACCCCAGCCCTTCCTGCGGGCGTAGGCATAAAATTGGTGGTGTACCACCGAAATAGGAAGTGTTACACTGACTAAGACACTGAGACAGTCAGAAGTGTAACTGATGTTTCCTTTCTGGCAGAGCCGTGGATGTGTTTATCAAAAACAGAGTTAATTTGGTCTAGTTCTTCTCGTTCTGGTGGTGAGTTACTTAATAGTGCAAAAATGTAGAGCAAGCGGGAACAGGAAGGGCCAGGCAGGCGAGCACTTGAGCCACACTGATTAATGCCCCGACTTCAGTGAGCGTGGGAAGTGCTGCACCCAAATAAAGTAACAGATAAGGATTGGACAATTTGCAGTGCGTTCCAGCAGGCGACCGTTTTGAGAATAAACTTAGTGAGAAACATGGATGCTTCAGGATGAACTGATGCAGGCAGGAAATGTCGTGGTGGTGTTAAGTGTAATTGTTTAAAAACTCTGCAAATGTTTCAATAGCATGCATATTGAGCAATACCCGCCCCATAGCTGCAGCCAGTTGCTTCCCGACAGGGCTCCCTGGCAAGGCCAGGTGTTGCCAAAGAAGAAGGAATTTCGGCACAGGACGGACTCTGCAGGGAGCACCCGGGAGGCAGACCCACAGTGTGCTTGAGTCTTTTTTGGTAACAACAATTCCAAGTTGCGTGTTGGCTGTAATTACGAAATACCCTTGTTGCAGCAGCATGGCAGCATGGGGAAGGTGGGTTTCAGCCTGAAGCGCAGGTTCACCAAGCGGCACTTGTCTCAGGGTCGCTGCATGCTGCCGTGACTTGGTTTCCCGCAGTTGGAGGCCCATGGCTGGGATGTCAGGCTGACATCTCATCCCTTGAGCAGCAGCGGTAGCAGTGTTCAGTGTGCAGCAATTTTCCAGCCCATTGTTTTTGCACGCAGCTGCCCCGGGGTCGCACGGGCAAGGCGGAAAGCTGTAGAAGTTGGCTGTTCGGCGTCAGCGTGCCGCGCTGCTGGAAAGGCCTGAGCAGGCGAGGAACCGGCTTGGAACGCAGGTTCATTTTGTAAGGGTTGAGGCTGTCTGTCGGGAGAGTAGCCCTGGGCTTCAGGTGTCTGAGCGCTGATTTGAGACACCGCACAGCGTGAAGCTGGAAGAGCAGGGCCGCGCTTCAAGGATGCTATTGCAGCCCGAAACCCCTTTCAGAGGGTAAGGAGCTGTATGTCTCGGCGCTGGCGGCTCACGACACTCCTGTCCTTCCCTGCGGGCAGGGGAGGGCTGCGCCCCCATCCCCGGGCCGGGCCCGCCCTCCGCGGGGGTGGTGCCGCCGGAGCGGCGCGCCGGACCGGGAGCGGAGGATGCTGCTGCCGCTGCTGCCGCTGGTGCCGCCGCTTGTGCTGGTT